CTGGATACACTCCCTCCTTCATAGACATAGTTAATCGTTTAGCCTGTCCACCTATCTATCCATCCATATATCCATGTTTACCTTCACTGAGAACTCAGTACTGTATATGCAAAAGGGTTCATATTTGTTGTCTGTACAGGGTAACTTCTTAGCCACAGTCAAATACTTTGAGGAAGTGAGGTGCTGGGCCCGAGCACTTGGGGGACATCAAGCTCAACTGCCTAACATACTACACAAAAACACTGCTCTACATCCTACTTTAATGAATAATAACTGGAGTCTTAAAAGCTTGTGAGCAGCCATCAAAGATGCAGCTACTGGTTTCTCCTAGTCCAGAGGAAGGGAAAGAGAAAAAAATCAAAAACAAATGGAAACCATTAGTTCAAAGGACTAGTGGATCATGGGAACCTCAGCCTATAGACCCCAAGTCCAGAAGAACTAAATGGCTCCCGGCTACCACTCTGAACTACTTGGAAAGGGATGAAAACTGGAGATCCTGATAGTGTGGGAGGAAAATGTAGAACAAACTTCAAAATCATAAAAAAAAAAAAAAAGACCAGACTTACTGGTCTGAGAGAGACTGGTGAAACCTCTGAGACTATGGCCCCTCATCACCCTTTGGGACTGGAACTCCTGTGGCTTAACTTCCAGTCAAACATTAAACAGACTGATGAAGTAAGCAATTATACCAGGTAGATACACTCCTTAGAACAATCAATCATGGAAGATCAGAAGGGCAGCATTTGAGCAGAGACAGTTCAGAGGACAGGAATGCATAGGAAAAGACATGGAAAAAGGTAACCACAGGGAGGAAGTAGGCAGAGAGTTGTTACATTATGGGAATTGCAATCAATGTCGTGAAACAAAATGTGTATGAACTGTTGAGTGGAAAATGAATTTGCTCTGTAAATTTTCACCCAGATCACAATTTAAATAAATAAATAAATAGACACACTTTATGGAGCACAGTTCCACACATGGAATCACCATTAGTCATAGCTGACTCCATGGTAAGTGGTTCTTTAAGACGTTTATAATCTTTTGCAATTATAAATAATGCTGCATTAAATAATTTTATATAAACATAATTTGCCACATATGGGGGTTTATGTGCACAATCACTTCCCCTAGAAGACAACCTTGGGTCAATGATAAATAAATTTGTAATTTTCATAGATATAACCAAATTGCAGGTTGCCTGAAAAGGAGAACCACATCAGCAAGAGTTATGCTAAGAAGAGAGAAAGGATTCAGAATGTTTTTCCTACTTGTATGTATTGACATGGCCATTCAAGGGCTCATAAGGAAATTTTATTTATTGATATCATCTTCCATAACTACTATTAAAATGTTGCAGGTGTATGAAGGATAAATAAATAATAAATAGTTTTGTTCATCAAAAGATACCATAAAGAAAGTGAAGATAAAAGGTTCCAATCTGAGAGAAGGTTTTAGGGATACCATATAATCAGTATCCAAAATACAAATGAATTCTTAGAAATTTTCAAGAAAAAAGACAAAAAATAAGAACAACAACAACTGTTAGAGGGGATTTGGTTTATTAAGAACGGCTGTGTCCTACTGGTGGGAATGTAAATGGATAAAACCATTTTGGAAAATAATACATGCTAGAGAATATGTATTACACAACTCTTAAACATATGCAACTAAACAGATATATACCAAAATTTTAATAGCAGCATGATCTCTAAGAGCAAGAAATTATACCTAGTACAAATACACAGGAGAATAGAAACCATGTTATAATCTTGCAATGGATTACTGTAGGCAACTGGATGAAGGAAAAGCACATAGGCAATTACAAATGGTATCAATACTGTTTTAGTTGTTAATTTGGTTAAAATGTTATCTATGTGTATTATGCTTTACACAAAAGGAGCTCTGTTGGTATAGTGGTTAAGGCAGGTGGCTACTGACCAAAATGGTCAGTGGTTTGAACCCACCAGCTGCTCCATGGAAGAAAGATGAGGCAATCTACTTTCCAAAGATTTACAGCCTTGGAAACCCAATGGGTGTTGCTATGAGACAGAATCGACTCGATGTCAGTGAGTTTATGCTTTATATGGAAGAAAGATAGGGCAGTCTGGTTCTGTAAAGATTTAGAGCCTTGAAAACCTATGGGGCAGTTCTATAGGCAACAGATTTTTAACAGGTATATTTTATGCCTTACATATTTTTCCTTTTATCAATTATTACATTTAAAAATATAATAAAAGAAAAATATATGATAGTAACTTTTGTTCCAGCCAATAAAGTTTTAAAAGGCAGGCTAATTTAAAAACTTAGGAACTGCAAATTTTCTGGATGTCTTTTTTTTTTTTCTTTTAAGGTTCATTGAGTTCATCAAGGAGGCTTGAAGTTACTAAAAGGCTGCTGACAAATCTCCCCTTCCCCATGTTCTCCAGCCTCCCAGGGATTCTGGGAATACTCATTATCCTTCCAGTTTATTCCCTTGTGCTGAGTTAGCTGACTTTGGCTTTGGTGACCTGTGGCCCAAGACCCCTGTTACTGACAAGGGTAAGGAAGGAACCCTGGATCTCCTAAAATGGCTGAAAACTTCTGATAAAATAATTTAATTCTCAAATTTCAGATTAAAGTTCTTTTAAGTACAGTTAGAGAAAGAATGTTTTGCCCATACATGTCCTGAAACTCTTTGCCTGAACTCTGACTTACCCAGGCAGTGAATGTGGTCCTGCACTGTGCAGTTGGCAGTATAGCGCTGCCGAGGACAGGACACTGTCATACAGGTGGTGGAGCTGTTACACTTGTAATCTGTTTCTGGAAGTTGCCAGCAAAATCTGCAAGTCATATTGATGATGAAGTTCTTTTGGAGTTTGAAGTCTTCATCCTATTTATCAAAAGACCCAGGTTAATTAATCATGAAGATAGTAGTTTTTAATATGTCAATAAAACTATATAGTCATATGACATAAAGCTTCTAATACACTGAGTTGGTACTAAATGTTAGAAAAAGAGGTACAAAAACAGTATGTATGCAAAACAAGTTCATATGGTATGATCCTATCATAAACATATACACCCAAATATTTGTGTCTGAGAAAAAAAACTAGATAAATTCACAAAATGTTAACAAAGGTAATTTCAGATTACACCACTTTTGCATAGCCAAATTTTCATTAATGAGCATGCATAGTTTTGTTAATAGAGAAAAAAGGAATAAAAATGAAAAAAATATAAATTTATTTTATAAATCCTCAAGGCCACTGAAAAATGGAAGGAATATGTGAGTGCATTTGTTTAAGGTAACTGAGCTATAAATTATGAGTAAAGCCGAAGTCCCCTAATGACCAGACTGATGCTCACAGAGGTACACACTGCTGTTTCTGAGTCCCAAATCTTCCCTAACATCACCAACCATGATCTGGTCCAACACTCAATGGCTACTACTGACACTTTCACCTCCACAAGCACTGGCACAACCAACCAACAGACAGCTGGCAGAGAATCACTCTCAATTAAGAAAATCCAGAATACATGTAGAAGAAGCTCAGCAAGAGTTCACTGCATGGCTCTTAGCTTTTTAGACCAGAGATTTGGCTGTTTTCATTTCAGTTTAAAGTTTTTATTTAGCTTTATTTACAAAATACACACTATTTGAATGCTGAATATTTAGAAAGTAATCTGTAACCTCTCCAGAGATAACTGCTTTGAATCATCTTTCAATTTTTTTCTATGTATATATTTATATGTTTACATATGTGGAGTTTTTCTGTAAGCATTTTGTATTGATTTTTAACCCTACTTTATATTATATAACCAAAACAATAAATCTGTTGCTATCAAGTCGATTCCAACTCACAGCAAGCCTATAGGACAGAAAAGAACTGCCACAGGGTTTTCAAGACTATAATCTTCACGGAAGCAGACTGCCACCTCTTTCTTCCACAGAGACACTGTTGGGTTCAAATTGCCAACCTTTTGGTTAGCAGGAGAGTGCTTAAACATTGTGCCACCAGGGCTCCTTCTTCATATTATACAGTAACACATATTTTTCAAAACCATTTTTAAATGGTCACACAACCATGTCTGGAAGTATCATATTCATTAGTTTTTTCATCAATGCAAAACTGATTTTTATGGATATAGTATTTAAAATTAGGTAAGGCTCCCCTTGATTTAGGCTATATTGTTTTTATACACCTGTATATTTTTTAGGGATGCATTTAGAACACATTTTTTAATAAGTTATTTTTCTGAGAACTAGATAATACCTGCACATGGTACAAATTTCAAGACACAAGAGGAAAGTGAGGAAGGAGTAAGCCTTCTTTGCCAGTCAGGCTCTGCCCTCCTAGTGCTGAGTACTGCTTACCTGTGCCTGTACCTTACCTTACCTTACCTTACCTGTACCTGTACCTGTGTACCTCAGGGACAGTATAAGTTTATATTATATATATTTCTTTTTTAACAATTCAACTTTTCCACTGATACTTGCTTAATTTTGAAGCTATCAGTACATATTCCCAGAACTGTCTGCTTCTTTTAATGGCTACAATGTATTTATTCTATTAATGAGTGTATGATCATTTAAAATGTCCTGTCTTGGACTTTTAGCTTATTTTGTCTCTTTTGCTTTTATGAACAATGAATATCCTTATACATACTTATTTTCATCCATTTGCAAGAATATCTCTAAGATAAATTCCTAGATATGGAATTGCTGGGTCAAAGACTTTATGTGTATGCTTGCCAGTTATGACAAATTGCCTCCAGCAGGTTTGCCCACTAACTAAACAAGGTATAAGGGCACTTGTCTTTGTATACCCTCACCAACTCCGTGTTAGTTTGCATTTCCTTTCCTATGAACCATTAAGGAGCTCTGGTGGCACAATGCCTAAGGTATATGACTGCTAACCAGAATGTTGGCAGTTCAAACCCACCAGCCACACTGCGGAAGAAGACTGGGCAAATCTACTTCCATAAAGATTTATCGCATTGCTCATGTTCTAAATCCATTTTTCCATAGATTGCCATTATTTTCTCTTTGACTTTTAGGAAATCTTTATTAATTATAGGTTATTAGTGCATTATATGTCACATGTTAGAAATATTTTTTCCTAGTTTATCATTTGTCTTTTGACTATGATTTCTCAGTTCCATTTAAATACAGCAATTCTTCCTTTTATGGCATCTAAATTTTATTTCAAATTTAGAAAAACATTCCCCTCTTTGGGATTATGGGGGGGACGACCTTGTTTTCTCTGGTCCTTTAGGGTTTCGTTTTTTCACAGTAAATCTCTGATCGATCCAGAATTTATTCTGATAACTAAAAAGACAGGAGTCCAACTTACTTTTTTTTTTTTTTTTTAAGATAGCTACCTAGGCATCCCAACATTTGCTGAATCTAACTTCTTATCACAAAGAATTAACCCCTTCAAAAGCTCATCTATGGTAAAAAGATTTGCTACCTTTCCCTCTGTAATTAGCTGTCATTACTAAGAGAACACACCCAAGTGAAGAAATTAAATTACGGTTTGCTATATTTTCTGAACACAAAGCACCATTTCTGCCCAGCACATTTCCAGGTGGCATCTCGCTTGACAGTTACTGTATCACCAGAACATTAGCTATCTGATATGGAAGGGATTAGAGGGTTTTACTTCTATTCACTTAACAGTTATCCTGTGACTAATGGAATTCAGGTTACATTCCCTTACCCAGTGAGTCCTAGTCAGTGTGCATGGAGAGAAGGGAGCTGGCAAAGTTTATCTTGTACACTTAATTTTAAGTTTAAAATAAGGGTAAGGCGAAGGAGAGAGTATGAGTACACATGGAGGAGTGAACAAGAGAACCTATATTTTTGCCTGTGTGCGCCAGCTGGTTATGAATTACCTCTTCCTTAATAATTAAGGAGCTCTGGTGGTGTAGTGGATAAGGCATTTGGCTGCTAACCAGAAGGTTGGTGGTTCAAACCCATCAGCCGCTCCACGGAAGGAAGACAGGGCAATCTACTTCCGTAAAGATTATTAACAGCCCTAGAAACCCGGTGGGGGTGGCTATGATTTGAAACTGACTCCATGGCAATGAGTTTGGTTTTTTGGTTTTACTATGATAATTTATTTACCAAGGAGGGACCCTAATAGATCTCCATTAAACAAAAAAGAAAAGAACACAACTTGCCTAGATGATGGTACGACATAGTCCTGGGACCAGTTCTCTTGAGAGCCAATTCACAAACCACAAAGGTCTACTAGGACAGCCATCAGAGCACACAGCTTAGGACAGTGGGCAGCTGCTGCTTCACAGGACTCACCAGAGGGAAGTGGGTAACATCAAAGAACCCTTGGAGCAGACCACAGCCACAGGGGGCATCAAGCTCAACTGGCATAACATACTGCACAAAAACATTGTTCCACATCCTACTTTGGCGAGTAGTGACTGGCATTTTAAAAGCTTGCAAGTGGCCATTAAGATGCAATGATGGGCCTTTCCTCATCCAGAGCAAAGAATGAAGAAAACCAGAGACGTATGGAAACAATTAGTCCAAGCGGCTGGTATAGCATGCAATCCTCAGCTTATATGACTTTGAGACAAGAACTAGATGGTGCCTGGCTACCACTGTCAACCACTCAGAGGGAGGTAGTCTATGTAGAAGATCTTGGATAGAGTAGGAGAGCAATGTGGAACAAAACTCAAAATCATTTAAAAAAAAAAAAAAAAGGGACCAGGTGTGCTGGTCTGACAGAGCCTAACGGAACCACTGAGACTATGGCCCCTAGCTGCCCTTCAGGTCTGGAATTGAACCCACTCTTATGGCTTCCAGCCAAACAAAAGAGAGGCATATGAGCTAAACATTTACATTAGGTAGACACAATCTTTGGAGAGACCAATCATGGGAGAACAGAAGGGCTGTGTATGCACAGAAAGATAACTCAGGGGGCAGGAGTACATGGGAGGGAAGGACACAGGGAAGAGGTAACTATGGGGAGGAAAAAGGAGGGGAGCTGTTGCATTGTGGGCAATTGTAGTCAATGTCATGAGACAGTATTTGTGAGCTACTGTATGGAAAGTGAATTTGGTCTGTACACTTTCACTCAAATCACAATTAAAAAAAAAAAAGGAGCCCAGAGGATAGGACTAAACCAAGAAGTTCAGAAACTTTCCTAAGCTCTCTACAGTTGTTATTTTTCTTATCCTCTACCTATTTTATACTAATGAAACTGTTTACTTGTTGTTAGAACATTTAAGGAAGGAAAAGATTGAGATGAATGCCAAAGAAGCTGAGGCAAACAAGAAGAGGCTTCAACATGGAAAAGTTCTCCTTAGACATCAAATACTTTCCTCATTATTCATTGAGTACCTACTATGTGCCTTCAAATAAATATGATATTAGGTAATTAGGGGAAAAAATTACGTTTAAGATATAGAATAAAGATTCACTGGTAATTTAAGGGCAGGAATGAAGACTATCTTGCAATTAAACTCAATTTTCCAGTGTGCCTTAAAGGGTAATACTGATACATGAAAATCACAAATCCTTAAGCTTATAAAAACCAAATCCAGGTACTGAGACAGCAAAACAGTTTATTTTCCCTTTGGAGTAAAGTCTCCCTAGTTTTCTGATATTGGAATTAAGGAGAATTACAAAAGGAGCCTGGAAGTACAAAGAACTTTCCAGTCCAGCCCTTTGCAGACAAGTTCCAGAGAATAGAGGAAGATAAAGGTACTTCGTTCATGAGTGAAGGAAATGCTAGAATTGCTGTATCAAAGGAAAACTGCAATAAGAGAAGAGAGCATGGAATCTCTTTTCTTCCCCCAAACTATTTCCCAAAACAAGGGTTCCATGGAAACACTTTAGGAAAACCTGTTCTGGACAAATTCCTTTGTTTTATAAAAGAAGATTGACAAACCACACAGCTAGTTGTGGCAGGGCCAAGAGTAAAATACTGCTTCTGTCATTAGCCATTAGAAAGATGCAAATCAAAATGAGATATCATCTCACCCCTGCACTAACAGTAAAGTTAAAAACACTAAGAAAACAACAAATGCTGGTGTGGATGTGGAGAGACTGAAACTCTCACACACTGTTGATGGGGCTATAAAATGGTACAACCACTGTGGAAAACAGTATGATTCTTCCTTAAAAAGCTGGAAATAGAAATACTGTACGATTCAGCAATCCCACTAATAGGTATATATCCTAAATAAATAAGTTCCACGACACAAATAAGTATGTACACATCCACGTTCATCCCAGGACTGTTCACAATAGCAAAAAGATGAAACCACCTAATGGCCATCCATGGAGGAATAGATTCACGAACTATGGTACATACACACAATGGAATACCACGTAACATTAAAGAACAGTGATGAATCTGTGAAACATCTCATAACAAGGATGAACTTAAAGGACATTATACTGAGGGAAATTAGGCAATCACTGAGGACAAATATTGCATGAGATCACCACTGTAGAAAGTCAAGAAAAGGATTTCACATAAAAAAAATACATTCTTTGATATTACCAGGGTAGGTGGAGGAGGGAAGATAAACCACTAACTAGAGGGCAGACACATATTAAGTTGGATAAAGGGGAAGGCAAATAAATGAGTAAAAAAATTATCATCTAAACCTTTGCAACCAAACCTTGCTTTGACATGGAGTTTCAGTCTTCTGATAAAGTTGACTTTATTCCTAAAAATATTACTTACAAAATGCAGAGCACTTTCAGAATTTTCCCCAATGATCAAGTCTAAACTACACTTTAAACTCAAGGTTTACAATAAATTTACTTAGAATAAGTTGTGGTACTTACAACACAGGTAACAGAAGGCTTGACTGTGCAGTCAAAAGTGACAGGCTTCCCATAGACACAGGAGAAATTTGTCTTGCATTCTACACAGTCGGCCGGAAGTCGGCTACACAAACCATTGCTTGGACACTTCATCACATAAGGTGGGATTTCGGTACTTTCTATGTATGCAAGGTGAGAGAGAAACTTATTCTCTTATAATACTTGTTAGAATACAGAAGAAAACAATCATTTTCTAAGGTTAAGAGACATGAACATTAGCATGAGATGTAAGAAAGGAGATTGTCTATGCTAAGAAGGTTGCGCATGTGATAGCTAACCAGCAAAGAAAAGAGCCCACCATTGCCTCAAAATACACCTAGAGACCCATGTAACTGTAAAGTGAAAGGAAGACTACTGCAAACTGATAGAGAACTGAGATTCAAGCCTTGAGAATGCCAGTAAATACTAAATTGAAAATAATAAATAGTTTTACTAAAATCCTTAGTCAAACCTGCAAGGGACTTGCTATAGGTAGAAGGAAATGAAAAGATGAGAAGTAATGACTATGTGTAGGATGGTGCCCCAAGTACACTGGAGGAAGGGCCAAGTGGATGTGCCACTGAGCAGCCACTTAATGCTGGTGGGCCCATTAGGCTGCTGCTACTCTGAGCACATAACTCCTGCATCCTTCAGACCACACACTACTAAACACCTACTCTGCTCACTGGGACTACTATGGTAAACAAAACAGACAAGACTCTGCTCTAACAAGTAAATGAGCAAAATTACTAAATATTGTGAAAAGTACTAGGAAGGACTTAACAGTGGGCAGTAAGAAAGAGAAAGAACAATAGAGAAGGAGATGCCTGCCTTAGCTAACAGGAACTAAGGGAAGAATTATTTGAGAAGATGATATATAACCCTCAAAATTGACAGTAACAAATATCTACCTAAGCAAAGTATTCTGGGCTCAGGGAAGATGAAGAATGAAAGGCTTTAGGCAGGAGAGAGCTCAAAGAACTCTCAGGAGGCTAGTGAGAGGGGACCAAGTGGGAGAACAGAGAGGCAGGCAAGCATCATATCATGAACAGTACCGCAGGGGAAGGTGAAGGGTTAGAATTTCATCTAAGTGTGAGAGGAAGACAACCTAATCAGATGTACACTTTAAAAGAGTAATTCTGGCTACAGGAAAAATGTGGTTATTTACATTTAAGTTACTTAAAATTAAATAACATAAAAAATTCAGAGCTCTGGTGGTACAGTGCCTAGGCATCTGACTGCTAACCAGAAGGCTGGCAGTTAGTTCACCAGCCACTCCTCGGAAGGAAGATTGGGCAATCTACTTCCATAGAGATACCACCTTAGAAACCCAAGGAGGGGTCACTATGAGCCGAATCGACTCGACGGCAGTGGGTTTGGTTTTGGTTTTCAGCTGCAGTAGCCATATTTCAAGTTTTCAACAGCCACACGTGGCTAGTGTCTCCATACAGGCATGATGCAGATCAAGAACATGAAGAAAGTTTCTAAAGGGCAGCATTCAGACTGTCTACACAGAGATGATGGTGACTTGGGTTTAGGGAATGGCTTTGGAGGTGGAGAAAGGTAGGCAATTCAAATGGTCTACAGATAAAAGTGATAAGACTTGCTGATGAACTGGATGAGGGCTAAGGGAAAGGGAACAATCAGGACTTTGATTCAAGATAAATTAAGGAAGAAACAGGGCTGCTTTTTTACTGATTAATTTAGGAATCAGGCAACAAAGAGCTGTATTTTAGATATACTAAGTTTGAGATGCCTACATAACAGCCAAATTGCGATGTCCAGCAGACATCTGGATACTCTTTATAAATATACACTATATAAATATGAAGCAGGGTTTTGTACAAAACCCTAGTAAGATAAAGCACAGCAACAAAGATGAATCTCAAACAGTCACGGTAAGTGAAAAAAGTCAGATCCAAAAAACTACAGACTGTTGACTCCATATATATAACATTCTGGAAAAGGCAAAACTATAGAGACAGAAAAGAGATCAGTGGTTGTCAGAGGCTGGGAATGCGTGAAGCAGTGACTACAAAGAGGCAGAGAGGAATTGGGAGAAGGGGAAATGACAGAACTGTTCTGTCTTGATTTTGGTAGTGGTTCCAAAAGTACATATATTGGTCAAGTCACATAACTATAAATTAAAAAGGTAGAATTTTATTATATGTAAAATATACCTCAATGAACCTGATTTTTTAAAAAAGGACCCAAAAGATGTAAAATTATCTCAGAGTTAAATGAACTTCTATAACTGGGTGCCTAGTGTCACGCACAGGAGCTATAATGGCACTGTAGTTAAAGCACTGGGCTACTAACCAAAAGGTTGGCAGTTTGAACCCACAAGCCACTCCATGGGACAAAGATGAGGCAATCTGCTTCCATAAAGATTTACAGTCTTGGAAACCCCATGAGGCAGTTCTACTCTGTCCTATAGGGTTGCTATGAGTCAAAAGCAACTTGATGGCAACAGGTTGGGTTTTTTTTGTTGTTGTTTGTTTTTATGTCATGTACATATCATGGTGGTACAGGAGGGAGTTAAATCTGTTTATCACTTGTTAACATAAGTAAACATCTGCATGCTTCTGCACATTCAGCCACTAAAGCCCTCTAAGTGTACCTCTAACTACACACCAGCACCATTCCAAATCCTGCTGTAATGGATGGATCTCATTAAAGGGCAGTTTTAAAGATGTGATTCAACTCCACACTAAACGTCAAGAGAGGGTTATAGCTCTATTAACTTTCAAAACACAACACTGTTTTTTGGACAGGGACTAATTTACAAGGGAAACAGAACTGCACTGGGTTCTTCAGAACCTCCAGGAATACCTTCTTTGTAGGACTCAAGCTGACCTCATTGTGACTGGCAGCATTCTGGAGAACATGGTTAAATGGTGGCCTTGCTAAATGGGAACCAGATGGAAGGCCAGGTCTACACTTTATTTTATAGTTATGAGGAATCATACCGATCAATGTATAGTGTGCTGAAATGGAAAAAGCACAGCGTTGAGACACTTGCAACTGAAGTAGGGTTCTACCACCAGCTGTGCAAGCTGGGGCAACAGCTCAAAAGCCAAGCACCTCACTGGTAAAAGTACTTAATAACTGCCCCAAAAAAGCTATGAAAATCAAGGGTGCTAATATATATAATGTATGCTGGGTACAAGTTAAGGATTCCAAAAAACCTCTTTACAATTTTACAAGATGAAAAACTAAAGCTTACAGCTGTTAAGACTTGTTTAAAACCCTACAGGGAGTTTGTGGAACAAACAGAACCAGAACTCAAATCTCCTGGTTTTCAATTCTATGTTCTTTCACTCAGTTCACTTATTTGGAAATGAAGCCACAAACATCCTCTAACTATGAATAAATCAGAACTTTGGAAATTTTTTGCCATTATTCCACATTGGTACATTAATAATACTTCCATACTACTAAAATTCAAAAAGCAGCTGTGGTAGCATAGTGCCTAAGGCACTTGACTGCTAACCAGAAGGCTGGCGGTTCAAACCCACCAGCCACTCCTCAGAAGGAAGGTTGGGCAATCTACTTCCATAGTGATACCGCCTTGGGGTCGCTATGAGTCGGGGCGACTTGACAACATACAACAACAATAAAATTCAAAATAAGCGTCTCTATATTAATAACCTGCTTCAGAGGGTTGCAATTTTTTTCCCCAGCCAACCTACCAAGGTGTACAATATATTTTCATCAGTTAAAAATGGATCAAAATTGCATAGCTTCTTAAGACAGAAGCAGGGTTTTCACAAACATCCCAAAGAGTCAAGAATTCTTGTTATCTTCTCTATAAAAAATCTACATTTTACATTCAAGTATGCTGCTGTCTCCTACTACTCTCTACATCCAAATAAAAATGAGAAAAATCTCTCTGCCAGTTTAAATCCATTGAAATAATGGAAATCTGGATGAATGAAACTACAGAAACAAATGTTGTACATAGCAAAAAATACTAATGCCTGTTTAAAGCTGGTCCTACTTAAAGTCATAACATTAAACGAGTAACCCTGTAAAACTATCTTCTTCTATTCTATCATATTCCTACCTTGTTTGGGACCTAGACACTTAGAATCACAAAGACAAAATGACTTTAGGTGATTCTGCTAACTCTATCACCTTAAAGATGAGGAAATAAAAGTCCAATGGGTGAATAATTTACTCAAGATCCCAGTTGCTCCAGACCTAGATTCCAAGACCCTGGTCTCTGTGTGATCCTTCCATTTCACACAGCCTTGGGGGAGCATATCCAACAACAGGAAGAGGGTTCAAGAAGAAGAAAGTTTCTGAATGGGAAGAAGTATTGGTTGAAAGTTATTTTGGTGGATGAATTGGATAAAATGATAGAAACATGAAATACGGAAATGGAAATGAGATCTGTGGGACCTCAAAAAGAAATGAGGCAGAAATGTCAAAGGTATTCAAATAACAAGACTGTCTATGGAAAAATGTGTATCTGCCCTTAGGTCACACAATCTAAAATACAGCAGGTTCAAAAATGGAAATTGATTTCACATACTAAAAGAAATTTTATTTTAAAAAGAGAGAGAGAAATCACTAGATATAAATATGCACATTTACTAGAATACAAAATGTCTAGTACCTGCTGCCCTGGGAACTACTGTGAATGTACGTGTTGGACCCGGGTCCTTTATTGCCTGAGCCAGCGGCCTGAGCCGCGAATGCTCTAAATTTAAGGATTCTACAATTAGAAAAACATGTTATCCTGGGTTACGAAAACGCTGGCTTGTATGGTTAACACGCAGGGTCTACACTAGACTAGTAACCGCTCATGAAAATCTCCCGGCTCGACTGCTCATAAAACTACATGGCGCAATACCAGCAAGGTCAACACCAATTCAGATCTTAGGGCAACTAGGGAACAAAGGGTGTTAAAGGGATTCTATTGTACTTCCCCGCCCGAGCCCCGAACCCTCTTTGACCTCTCGAAGCCTCCGCGGCCTAAGGGCAGCACAGGTGCTCGTGAGCGGAGGGGCAGCCTTAGACAAGACCGCCGAGATGCGCCGCCCTGCACCAGGCAATCTGCCCCTGTCCTAGTCAGGACGCCACCCTCAGCTCCTGGGGTCCCTATCGCCACTCAGCCGGCACTCTGGTGTGGATCCCGGTTCTTTGCACTCACCACTGCCTGACAAGATGTAGAACTGTGAAAGAAAGAGCAACACACCACACAAACTGCGAAGCGCCCGCAGCACAACGGCTGCAGCCGCCATTTTGCCGCTGGACGAGCACTTCCGGGGCCAAGGGGCAAGGCTCGTCCGAGGGGCGGGACTCGTCCGAGGGGCGGGACTCGTCCGAGGGGCGG